AGCAGTAAAAATATTTGTTTTAACCATATAACAATTTGCATATACAATTTACTCGTACTTGTACAATGTACATGCACATCGTACATCTGAGTTTAATGTCTATTATGTTTAATTGTTTAGGATATCTGTGAAGAACTATATTGTGACTATGCAACATTCAACATGGTATCCAATCACATACCACCATTAGATGGCACTTCTTGTGGAATTCATCGGGTAAGTTGTAAATTAATCGGAGACAAAATCGCAAAATAGAATATACGTTTTTTAATAGTCCAGTCATTTGTATGGTCTCATTACAGGCGTGCATCAGGGGATGGTGTATGAATTTATACAGTACACGAGACTGTGGTGAACAAGCCTGCCCTGCCACGTAAGTATTTATAACATTCATGTTATCATTTAATTGTTAGGATAATAAATTGTTTTTTAAGTATAATTAATATTATTATACATCTGTCACCGTAACCCATAAGTTAACAGCGTGCAATGATTTTGCGGTATTTTACGAGGTATTTTCATCCTACCATATTAGGAAATGTGAATTCCAAATATGGAATGATTACGTGAGTAAGCGTCCTCTAATAATACAAACATGGCTGCCACCAGGGTTTGAGTGAACTCTGCACAAAGAAGTTCACTGTTTCTGATCTGAACATTTTGGATTTCGGCATTCGGATGATGTATCCTTGGAAGGAAAGATGTATAATACTGGATTCTGCCATAAATTTGTCCTGGGCCATTAAACAATTTTTTGGCAGTTTTTAAAGTTTTTTATATATTTTCTGACATCTTAAATACTGTAAAATACTTTATTTTCGCTTGGAATTAGTTTTCGCTATTTTCGCTGAAGGAATGATTCAGTGAAAATAAAATCCAGCAAATATACTTTTTTCCCTATATTTCACATTCAACTTATCAAAAATCAGTGAAAATAAATTCCATACAAAACACCCAAAAAGTCTTTTCAGTGAAAATTAATTCCAGCGAAAAGTATTTCATAGTAGTCCATTTAAGTTTTTATTAAATAGTATGATGTTTATTGTGACTATCGTGAATGGGTAAGCTTCGTTTCGACAATGAGCTGTAAACAATGTTAAATTATTCTTCAAATGCTCAGTTTATCTTTTGAAAACAACTATTTATTTATGGAGACTGTATGGTTTTCTTTAATGGCCAGTTATTAAAAAATATTTAGCTACCAGTGAAGAAAATGCAACATTATGAAACATCCTGATATCAAATTTGTGTAATGCATTGAAACATGCCCCTAATAAAGTAATATAAAAATGCATTTTTCTGATGTTTACTGTTCTGTCGGAATAAATCGGTTTGATTTTATTAATTATTGGTGAAAGTAACAAAATATGTTGTAGCCAAATTGAAAATGAAGCTACGATTAGCAATGTATATTTAATTGGTAACCTGGTAATATCTTGTTTATTTACAGATTTTACGAATCTGAATGGGAAACGTGTAATCCCAATGCTGAACAAAACCCATGCATCCAAAGTAGGCTGGTCCAGTGTGGGGAACTTCACAATGATGGTTCATTTGTTGCACTGGAAATTAGTGATTGCATTGCAGGAGGAGAGGAGCTACCTGTATCTCAGCGGTGTTGTTGTACAACAGGATCCTGTACTGTAGCCTCACCAACAACTGAAAGGTATGTCATTGGCTCATATTGGCACTATATTTTCTATATTAGGCTAAATAATAAAAAATAGTATTTCCATTCCATGCCTACTTTTTGCATGCCGATCCAGTGTCTTTTTATGGCTAAACTGGAACATGGCCACAAAATGCACAGTCAGTTGTACAGTGTAATACAAGTGTAATAAAATATGACTAATTTACCAATATTTGCTACATGTATATGAGGGGCTGTCATCTTGAATACAACTTGAATCTATGAGAAAGAGATGTTGAGAAACTGTTTTTTCAGATTCCTAAAAAAAAAAAAAGAATACAAAACCTTCATGGCCAAATGATCTGTTGGGGTAACATTAAGCCAATAACTAAAAACAATTCAAGCGCATTCTGTATTTTTGCATGGAAAAATCTCTTGCAAACAAATGAACACCTCATTACATGATGAATATAGAAGTTTTTTTGGGTATTTGAAACCAAAATCGCATATTAATTATGTCATTGATGTGCTATATTTTACAGATACCAATGGCTTGCAAGTGACTTTAGTTCATCGTGTACTCCGAACTGTGGAGTAAACAGTGTGCACACGCGTATTGTTTCTTGCTATGACAGCGTGTTGAATGTACCAACTGATGTGGAAGTTCTTTGTGATTCTTCTAGCAAACCAAGCGATACTACTCCCTGCACTACCTGGTATGTACAATTACAACTATAGGGCAGAGGATATCCTACTGGGCTTTGTTTTGAATAACTGTCACGTCGTTGTATTGGTTCTTGTAGTCCGGCACAAAATTGACATTGCTCAATTAATCAGTGTCCCCCCCCCCCCCCGGCCTTTCAAGCACCGCGATTCTTGAAATCCTGTCCGTGAGGCTCAAGTCGTTGTAGTGTTTACAAGTGTCAGCCTCGTCTTGCACATCTTTAAAACAATAACATGGATTGATTGAAAGGTAATCCTGCCTTTGTTAGCCTTACAAAAACAGTGATAAAGTCTACAAGATGTCTTTCAAAGGGATCGCGGCCTGCAAAGTAATAATTTGCCCATTACGTTGGGAAGATCTATCCCGATTTGCTGCACTGCGGTTGATTGCGTTTTTTACTACTCCATCGCCGATGACACTAATCACCAAGAATTAAAAAAAAACAAGTGAAAATAAGTCGCATTGGGAAAAAAATGTAAATAAATCAAAGCAAAAATTATTCAACTGCAGACGAGAGGGCCGAAAAAAAAAAAAACCCTGACCTCTAGAAATACCTCATTCATAGAGTGCCTCATTACCGAGGAACGCCACTGAAGCGACGTAATGCATGGTGTGACATTGCGACCAGTGCATGCTGGGTTACAAGGGGGATTCTGATCGAGGTAACAAAGATGGCGGCACAGAGTGCATGTTTTTCTGCGATGTTAAAAAAACATCTCGTTGCCGATTTTGATGCAATTTCTAAGATAATCGTCAATGAATCGTTTTAATTAACAAAACATTCTAAATTTGTGTATTTTTAAACCAAAAAGTCAGGGACCAATGATCGCAACAGCAGCGGAGAATACCCATGGTGATCATAGCGTTACACGTAAGGTATAGATAAATCAATGAAAAATCGTTGACACGAGTTTTAAAATGCTGTTGTAGAAAAAAAAATGTCATTATTGATTTATTAATTTCTAAGTCATATTTTGATAACCCACAATCTGACAGACTTTACAAATTTAACCAAAAAAACGTGACATGGGCATTAAAACTGACTGAACTTGTTGTACACAAAATAATGATGAACCAGTTACCTCCATGGATAACAATATATTCATAACAATACATTTTTTGCTGTTCTATTTCAAACTTTATTTGACTTGATGCACACAAAAAATACAATGAAGTGATGTAAAAATGATATAAAATATATGAGCTATAAAAATATCTCTTCTTTGTTGTAAATACTGTATCACAACGTTTGTTGGAGAAACTAATGGAGAAATTAATGTGGTGTTATGCAAATTACCCGCGATGTTTGGCATGGAGTCTGGGGAGAACACTGTTAGTGTTTGACAGGGACACAGTTTGTTATATCAACGTAGATAAGAAAGGATCATTTCTTTGTAAATTTTCAGTCTAGTTGGGCTTCTGTTTTGGAAAATGGTAGTCCTGGGACAAAAACCGATAGTCAGTGTGCTTTTGCTACTTCTAAATTCATTCCCAAAGTTATGAATTTCAAACATACATTTATAATTTCCAATTAGTTTTCTATGGACAGCATTGTAGTTCGGTATTGCGCAACTGACAACCATTTCACAGCTATCAATTTTGTTGTATTGTTGATACGACTTTTGACTCTCCTAGCTTAGGGCAGTGGGATGCATTCTCAGGATTTTTAACAATGTCTAATGCACCTTGAAATGTTTTTAATGTTTGTGAAACTTTTCTCTGGCAAAAAATATTTCATGTGTATTATTTTAATAGTATTTCTGAATATTTCTCAATTTTTCCACTGCTTTTTTAGCTCCGCTGTCGACTTTGTCGAGCGGAGCTTATCATATGAGTGATTGTCCGACGCCGTCGTCCGTGTCAATGTTTTACTTTTTCAACTTCTTCTTGAAAACTACAAGCCTGAATGCTTTGATACTTGGTGTATATGTACCTTGGGTAGACCTCTCTCAGATTTGTTCATTTTGTAATGATATCTTTAATTCTCTAATTTTGGTGAATATTTTTGTCATTTTTGGTAAAAAGTGATATTTTCGACTTCTTGTTAAAAACCACAAGTCCGATTGCTTTGATATTACATATATAGGTACTACATGTGGACCTCTCTCAGATTTGTTCATTTCGTGATGATATCTTCAATTCTCTAATTTTGGTGAATATTTTGGTCATTTTTGGTAGAAAGTGATATTTTGACTTCTTGTTAAAAACTGTAAGTCTGATTGCTTTAATACTATACATATTGTTCATTTTCTAACGATATCTTCAGTTCTTTATTTGAAATGTGCATTGCTAACAGCGGAGCTATCTCAGCCGACAGGCTGCTTGTTTTAGAATGTGATCATTATGAAAATTATTCTGTTTATCAGTCTGATGAATTATATCAGGCAAAATTTTCTCTATATTCATTCTTCTACTGATCTACATTTTTTTTGCCAAAGTGGGAGCACTTCTGTCAGGTTGCTATGAATAACAATTTGCATAATGTAACTTTGTTCGTTTTATTGCAGTTATCTGTGGGAGGCCAGTGCCTTTGGTAGTTGTTCAGCGACATGTGGTACTAACGTTATTCAGACTCGCACTGTCACTTGTAAAGATGGCATTTCTGGGCAAGTACTTAGCGACAGTCTTTGTGATGCTGCTTCTAAGCCCAGTGATGTACAGTTATGTACAAACTTACCTGCATGCCCAACTACTTCAAGGTACGCATGGATCATTGGAGGTTTTGGAGAGGTGAGTGAATAGTCAGTAGTTCGTATGTACTGGTTCAGTAGATTTTGTTTGTAACTAAAATAATTCCTGACTGAGTATTGGTGTTATTTGTTATCGGTGAATTCAAAAGTGGTTAGTGGTGACATTTCAAAACTAATGAGGTTAACAAGATTAAGTCAGTTACGTTTAGTCTGTCCCAAGTGATGAGCACATTCTATTATTGCTTATACTCTTATTTTTAAACGTATTTGAGCAAATCAATTGGCCTGACCCCTCTGACTGTGTTGAGTTCTGAATTTTGTCGATGACAGATGTGCTTCACATATTGTGTTTGAGATCTGCAAACCACAATAAAATGTAGCTATTTCTGATATTTTGTGTTTCGTTACTATTATAATTTTAACTAAAGTATATCAGATTGCTTTCACATTGTGCATTTCAAAGAGCTCAACCATATTAGCCAACAGGTTTATTCAAAAGGCTGATCGTACATTTTTGCTTTCTATGCCTTCAATTCCCTCAGCACAGGGAGTCGACAGTCTGAAAACAGGGACTTATGGATTTAAAATGGCCAACCAATGGCCATTTCGTTTTTTTTTTTAATATGGACAAGTATTCATTGGACGATCAAATACACTATGACTGAATGTCAAACATGTTAAAAAAAAATCATAATCAAGCATCAGCTTCTAGATCCATACTTCTGACATAGTTAGTTTATAGTAATATAGTTAGAACATAAACATCTTAAGTTTGATATCTAACTGGGACTGTGCCATTCATTGCTTGTTTCTTTTCTTTTTTTTGTCCAAGTAAAATGCAACCAAATACTTATTTATGTTCTTCACAATAACTTGTTCATTGAATGTGATCCATGTTTTTCAATTTTATAGTGCAGTGTTTCTTGTGGTGGGGGATCACGATCCAGATCTGTTGCATGTTTCGATAACCAAGTACAAGGTGTTGTACTAGATGATCTGTGCATCACCAATGTTGGGGTGAAACCTCAAACTGAATTTGAGGCGTGTAACCAACAATCCTGTGAAATTCAAGCGTATCAATACGAATATGGAACCTGGGGAATTGTAAGTTGGATTATTCCTTCATTCAGCTATTTCAATATTAGGTGGAGAAAAAAAAGTTTCTCGTTTCCACGCGCATCATTTTGAACTATGCGCCTTGGACGTTTTTTTTCTTCTGAAGCATTCCAAAATGCGCTTGTACTCGCACTTGTCTCAAACTTCCCCTATTTTAGCTCAGTATTCAAAACAAAACAAAAATCGCTTCGCTGCCTCATTTTAAAATTTCCATGAAACGAGAAACAAAATTTGTTTTTTCCTGCCCTTACTTTCTAAACCTCAGGTGACGTGTACATTTGCGTGGTGTTAAATAGATAATAAATTTGTACTTGTCATTTCTAATGGGTTGTTGGAACTATTATGTGATGCATTCCCATTCCCATTCTTGTTGCACACTGTCCTCTGACACTTGCGTCACATGCAACGTCAAGTACAATATTTTCGTAACCTATATAATACACAATAAGTATCTATATAAATTTGTTAATTGTCATACAGTGTTCACAAACGTGCGGTACCGGTATCCAGGCTAGAAGTATCACTTGTAAGCGAATTGCAGACTCTGTTGTTGTACCAGAATCAAATTGCGTAGACCAAGGTTTAATCCGAGATTCTGCAACTCAGACCTGTAATATGGGTGACTGTCCCGGCACAACGTTCTACGAGTATTACACAACCCAGTGGGGCACTGTAAGTATTCTATATTCTTGCTTTTCTGGCTATTGATAAACAAGTGTTTTTTAACACATTGAATTATTTTTTTCGGCCCAAAATTCAGTGCAAATATTTTCACATTTTATCATATCTGCACTAAATTTAATTCCCATTTTGAACAATACAGTTTCAGATATTGCTTTTAATTTTTGATCAAAAGGTTTGTCCATTTTTATCAACATTTCATGTGGAGGGGGGGGGGGGGGAAGCAAACTATACAAAATGATTTTGTAGATGCCAAAAAATGACTGTCATGAAAATTTGTAATAATTTCATTTTTTGGGCTTCATCAATTTGTTTCTACTTTTTAATAAGAAGTTGAAAAATTTATCTATTGTATATAACACACTTTTCAAAAAGCTTTTCATTAAATATCTTACAGTAGCAAGGGAATACAAAATTAAATGAACACTACGTTCATAATGACAAAGCCAGTCGGGAATTTCAGGGTTATTATAATATTAAATTAATGCTTTCGAAACGATATTTTACACAATTTTTCTGCCCATAACGCGTTTTTTTGTTTTGTTCATGCAATAAGTTTTATTTGGTTTTCAAAATTGTTTATTTCAGTGTTCACTTACATGTGGTGGTGGTACTCAGTCGCGAACTATTTACTGTGCAGTAGCGGGTACCAATGGACAATCTTCAGCCGCTGAGTCAAACTGTCTGCAGCAAGGTTTAGTTAAACCCAGTGATGCACAATTTTGCAATACACAGTCGTGCACAACCTCCACTTATGAATACAGAAGTCTAAATTGGCAGCCGGTAAGATTACATTAATTCAGAGTCAATATTAAAGCTACTTACTTACAGGACTGTGCCTGATTGGCTACCCAAACCTGAAACCTAACTGTCGGACCAATCAGAGAGCAGCTTGTTTGTTGACAGGTTTTTAAGAGTGATCGTGACTACTATATTTACCTCTATCCTTCTTTTTTGCTCAGATTATTAGTCCCCGTTCGAACGAAGTCCGAAAACGGGGACTTATAATTCGGTCTCCGTTTGCGCGTTCGTCTGTGTGTCCGTCCGGAGTCGTATCTCAGAATCCCTTGGACCAATTCTGTTCATTCTTTGCATGTGTCTAGTACCTTATGTGGGACATATGCACATGCAGTGGTTTAGCGATTCAATTCAAAATGGCCGACTGGCAGCCATCTTGTTTTTTGAAAATGTTGTATTTTGGACATGCTTTGTCAGTTTACATTCAAATTTAGTACATAGATCATACATGTTAGGATACATCTCCATGAAGATTTACTTAGCAATTGGATCAAAGATGGTCGACTGGCAGGCATCTTGTGTTTGTTTTTTTATGCGGTATCTTGGACGTGCATGCTCTGTTAGTTTTCATTCAAATTTGGCACATAAATGTACTTTATACATGTTAGGATGCATGTCCATGACAATTTGTTTCAAAATCTGGTCAAGGATGGCTGATTGACAGCCATCTGACTTTTTGGCCTTACTACTATATTTCCACAATTTATGTACCATTTTCATTCGTATTTGGCACATACATCATACATATCAGTGTGTTTCATAATCAGATCAAAGATGGCTGAATAACGGCTGTTTTTATTTTGGCAATATTACTACTACACGGAACACATGTTTTGATGTAAATAAACAATCTGTTGTATACGCCACTTGGAACTCAAGTTTCAAGGACATGCTCGCGACAACCCCTCCGCTTTAATATGACGAGCACAAAGAGAACTTAACGGGGATTGTGTCATTTTCAATGACTTGTTATTAAATGTACTGCGGTCCTGTGATCACAAGCGATGATCGGAATCATTGTAGATCAAATGCAAAACGCAGTTCTGACAGAAATAATTATACATAGTATCTTCACGTTAAAACTTCTCCCTTATTACTTTCTTGAGGATGGTGAGCGCATTAGAATAAATGAAGGTTTGTAATCATAGCGAACTGCTCGCTTGGTTGGGTTCGGTCGGCCACATTCAAACACAAGATGGAATTACACCGGAGCAACTTGAAATTAAAAACTTGTGAATCACTTGTTCATTCCAATGTAAATTCCATTTATTTCTTAAACACATTGGATTTATTTACAAGTGTGTTGCAGAGAATTGTCGAATGTCATAAAAGTGTTGAATAAAAAGATAAAAACTGACCCATAGAATTGAGCATGGACTAGACCAGAACAAAATTACCAATAAACTTCAAAAGGGGGAATGGAATGTTATTGCGCCTTCTAAGCAGACTGAGGCCAACCAATCATTGACTGCATACCAAACTAATCATGGGATATTAGCCAGAAAGACGGATAGAATGTTGATACAAACTGGAGCGAAATAGTTATGCATATCATCAGAGGTACATTATTTGGGGTTTGCAACTACGGTGACATGATACCAAGATCCCATTACAATATCGCTCTTGTATGAGCGTTCCAACTCAGAAAAATGCAAATGCGCATGCCCAAGGTAACTAGGATACTGGGATGTCCAGGTGGATCAAAGTAGCTGCTCACGATATGACGGATTACGATAACTGTATTACATTTTTTCACTATGAATGTGGTAATACATGTTTTATTACAAACCGCCTATGTCATGTCAGAAGGTAGTAGCATCAGTCTTGCTATCTACCAGATGAGACTTGAATGAGATCTTGGCATGATGTCACCATACACTACTATGTGAGTTCCAAACCCCAAGTAATGTACCTCTGATATCATCTATAAACACACAAGTCAGAGTAAATCTGGTCAATAAAGTCTGTGAACACACCTATGGTTTCAGCGATAGCTCACAAGAATGCCATATTTGGAATTTGTAACAAAGAATCTCATTAGTTGATAACTTTGCTAAATCAAGCACTACCTCAAACATGCACACTCATGAATAGACTTACCACACAGGTTCGTTGAGAGGGATGAATGAATATGAAACTGAGGAAATGATGCCTTGTGAAATAGAATTGATCTAACCAGTTCTCATCAAGCAGTGATCTTAAAATGCACATTTCAAACATACCTGCAACTGGGCTGGCAATATTTACTGTTTTAAATTGCAACAATTTTTACCTTAAATATTTTCTGTGTTTTCAAGCATGTCAAAAGATTATTCAGAATGTCTATAATTCTCTCGTTTTTCCTCGTAGTGTACTGTCACATGTGGAGGTGGTACTCAGACAAGGTTTGCCTACTGTGCATTTGTTGGAACTACGAATGGTGTCCCAGAATCATTTTGTGAGGATCAAGGGCTGACGAAACCCTCTGAAACACAAAGCTGTAACACTGAAGCGTGTTCAACAAACACGTATGAATACTTCACAACCAGCTTTGGTTCGGTAAATATCAAAAATCAGCAGTGATGTCATGTTGAATTCCTTTGTGGGTCTTTGGACATTCCAATTTCCTGAAGGAAAGTGCAGATATAAACAGAACTATTTGGTGAATTTGGGATGAAAAGAGGGAATCGGTGATGAAGAGGTTAAAATATTGTTTTGTCAACAACAAAATACACATCTCTGCTTATCTGTACATATTTAATCTTCTTGTCAGTTGATTTGAATTTGGGAATTTTTTTTTAACAGTGTACTGTGTCATGTGGTGGTGGAACACAGAGTAGAACAGTATATTGTGCTGTTGCTGGGACCAATGGTGCCATGGGTGCCCAAGAAATTTCTTGTGAAACACAAGGTCTTACCAAACCAACTAATGTACAGAGTTGCAATACACAGGCCTGCCAAACAACTGTATATGAATTCTACACAGGTGATTTTGGATCTGTAAGTATTGCAATCATAGGGTAAAACTAGCAAACTAGATTGTCTGCCGTCAGTTGCAGTCGACTTTAAATTCTTGACTTTTCATGAAAAACGTCAAGTCTGCTTGCTTTGATACTTGGTATACATGTATGTACATTTCAACCTTCAGTGGACTTTTCTCATGAAATCTCTAATTTTAGTGAATATTGTTATTTTAGATTTCTGCTTAAAATGGCTATCCTGTTTGCTTCGATATTTTATTTAAAGTGTGGTTGTCGTCTTCGTGCAGCATGTGTTCGAATTTCATGTAAACAATGTATTTTACAGGCGTTGTATACGTCGCTATGAGTCCCATATCGAACAGAACGCAGCATTACCTAATTTGCATAATTAATTAATTTTCAGCTTTTGATATTTCAAGTAGTAATCATCACATTTCAATGACACTTGGTACATAGTTACTTAAGGACTGTGCAGATCCCCGATTAGTTTTGGAGTAAATATTTGTGCATATTAATTACCTTATTAGCATAATTAGTTAATTTACAGCTTTTTGCCTGATAACTCAAGTACTGATCATATTTCAATGAGACTTGCTACATAGATCCTCTAGGACTATGCAGAGACCTGATTAGTTTCAATTGGATATTAATTACCTAATTTGCATAATGTTCCACTGATATATAAAACTTTTAAAGAGAACTATGCAAAGACCCAATTAGTTTTTGGTAGATAATAAGATATTTATGCTTATTAATCACCTAATTAACATAATAATTTAACACTGATATCTCAATTATCACATTTGAATAAAATTTGGTACATAAATGCTCTAGGACAATATACAGGCCTGATTAATTTTGGGTTAAAATTTGTTCATATTAATTCTCTAATTAGCATAATAATTCATAATTTTGTTGTTCTGTTCTGTTCATATTAGTTACCTGATTTACATAATTAGTTTTCAGCTTTTCCATCAATATCTCGTGTACAAGTAATTTTTAATGTGTTGTCAATAATCTCAGCACACGGGAGTTCTTTCTAAGCTTTCTTTGATTTATTTTCTGTAACCTGTAACAGCTATCCTCCCTTGCTCCACTTCCTTCTAATAGAACAAATAGAAAAACCATGTTGTTTTTTTTGTTTTTAAGTGTTCATTGTCCTGTAATGGTGGTGTTCAAACTCGAACGGTGTACTGTGCAGTTGCTGGAACCAATGGTGGTACTGGTGCTCAAGAAAGTTCTTGTTTAAATCAAGGTCTTACCAAACCATCTGATATACAGAGTTGTAATACACAGCCATGCCAGACATTCACGTATGAATACTTCGCTGGAAATTGGGGTGTTGTAAGTAATTTTTTCAGATCATTCATTGGCAATCAATTCGTCTTTTAAATATAAATTTGTTAAGCGTTGCTTAATTTTTTATTTGACAAGCCACAACTCAATATTCTTCTTTGGGAATTCTTAGTTAGTAATCATCTGAATTTCTGCATAATTTTTCCAATCATACATTTTTGCACTGCACTTTATTGAAGCAATTTGTAGATACATTAAAATCAAGGAACCAATCCTAATTTTGGCAAATATTGTGTGTGAATTGTGATCATCAGTGTAAAATAATACCACATAACATCTTTGCACATTATTTTTCCTTTCATGTGCTGTAACAATTAGCTAGCCAATTGTACACTGCCACAATTGTGCCTCTGGCTTGCATAGTGTACACGGTGCACACGATAGAAAACGAGGGCAGTCGATTACCTGCTAAATAAATGCATCAAATCAAGCTAAAATTTGTATGTACGGATTGTGTATTATAGTATGGTATCATAATTATCTTTATTGTATTTCCACCATCCAAGTAATTGTTGATAATAACACTCGGATTTGGTTTTCTCAATGTTCAGTTTCAAGCACATTCTTGCCAGCCTTATAAAACCTGCACTGAAATGTTTGCTCTTGGGTGCTATTAGGACTGCTGTCATACTAGAGTAATAGTCCTTTTTCTAAGTCTCCTACAATTGGCTATGTTTTACACAATGATTATAGCAAAAAATAAGCTCTTTATTCCACACCATGACGGCTATTTCACCACTTATGAAATCGCACTATAGCTGTTCATGGATGGATGCTGCTTGCAAAAATATCGAAAATTTAAACAAAGCAAATTCATTATTAAGTTTCTTCAAATAGATACCTAAACTTATTGCCGTTTTCTTTTTCTGCTGGCTCCTATTTGAATGGAAAAATTTATTAACATTCAAAAAGTAGTTGGGCACCCAAAATTGTTTCTGCGCTCATTCAAATAGCCAATTACAATGCTCAATAAGACATAACTTTTGGGAATTTCTGTCCTAAGCGTGAGCTGCATCCATCCATTCGTTGTATTTCATATATAGTTTCTTTAATTTGTTTCTTTAATTTCCTTCCATCTTTAGTGCACTGCAACATGTGGCGTTGGTACTCAGTCACGAGATGTTTTCTGCATTAGAATTCCTGAAAATAGCATAGTCGATAATTCTTTCTGTGTAAATGCTGTAGCGCCGCCTTCCGAGCAAATTTGTCCCAATTTACCAACTTGTGAAACGACGTTGTTTGAATACTTTACTGGAGATTATGGTACTGTAAGTGCAAAAGACTAACAGTGTGAAATTACTAATGTATATAAATACTGGTAATTTTGTCAGTAGGCATATTGTAGCAATTTTATCAGTAGGCATATTGTAGCAATTTGGTCAGTAGGCATATTGTAGAAATTTAATACATAGTTTAAGTGATTTGATCGATGGGCATAGACTAGTGATTGAATCAGTAGGCATGTTGTAGCAATTTGATCAGTGGGTACAATTCACAGGTGCGACATGCTTGATGTATACAAGATCTTGCCCGAAATGCATCAGTTAATTATACAAAATAAAATACTGTGTTGCAGTTGTTTTGCTTTTCACTAATTAGTCCCCGTTCCGAAAACGGGGACTTATGTTTTGCCCTGTGTGCGTGTGTCCGTGATCACCTGTATCTCGAACATGCATGGATCGATTAGGTTCAAACTTCACTCATACATCACACATTATATGGGACATATGCACATGCATTTGTTTCATGATCCGATTAACGATAGCCGAATAGCGGCCATTTTAAGGCCGAAAATGCATCAAAATCACGTATTTTCACCATTCCGAACCCGGATCTCAGTTATGCATGGATGGATTTTGTTCAGATTTAGTACAATGTGTTGTACATATGCAGGTGCATTTCGGTCATGATCTGCTTTGAATGTATATGTCACTCAAATATGAACGGAACGGAACGGGGACGTGTCATTGACAATGACTTGTTAATCATTGGCAATAATTTGACTTTAGTTTGTATTTGAAAATTTGTATCCTATTTTTTTTCTCTCACCAATATTTTCTGCTTCCCTGTACTGCAAGCTCAATTATTTATGGTGGAACTCAAATTTTTAATCGGCTCCTTCCATGTATGTTTACAGTGCTCAGTGTCATGTGGTGGTGGAAGCCAAACTCGGATTGTCTACTGTCGTGCAGTAGGAACAACAACAGAGGTTGGTGATGCTCTGTGCACACAACAAGGACTCAACAAGCCTTCCACTTCACAATCCTGTGGACTTGGTACCTGTCCAAATTATCAGTTCATCACGGGGTCTTGGAATGATGTAAGAACATTTCATTTTCATAACCATACCGTTGACTGTATGTTTATTCTATACACTGTAATTAACTATAATTTTAACTAGTTGACAGGAAATTCAGAAATGCTTAGTTGTACAGAGAAAGAAATTTATTGCCAATGACATGCCAATGTGGATGTGACAATGAAACTTGACGACCAAACGGTGACATTCAGTAATAATGCATTTTAGCTTTTCAAGTATTCTAATCAGTACATCCTCTAACAGAACTGATTTTGTAGAAATCCTCAGTCAAAATAGAATCGCCTAAAATCAAGTTGCGCCAGCTCTTGAAAAAAGAAAAAAAAATATTGTATGTGACTGTATTGAGGCACAAACAACAATTTTGTATTCCCCGATTTCCTTTGTATTTATGTCTTTTGTTTTTGAAATGCCAATTTTCCAAATTACAAATTTCATAACTATGTTTTTAAAGATCATTTATATATTAAAGTATGATTTGTTTTGTGTGTCAATGACGCACCAGTGAAATTGCACAACTTGTTTTTCAAAGCAAATCTTTGTGTGTCAGTAGTGCACCATATCGACTTAGAGAACACAGATTAAATGCAAACTTAAAAACTGTTGTCTTCTATAGTGATTATATCTTAATCCATCAGCTCTGCAAAATCTTAGACTGGTTAGCTGGCACATATTTTCCTAAAATCTGTATAGAGAAAAACTTATTATAATTTTGAAGCATCATTAACATCCACTCTTTTTGCAGTTTGCATTATAACACTTAATTTATACTGCTTCCACACTAATTTTGAAAACCCGAGTTAGGTAACTTTTTGCATGATAATTAATTGAATAGATACAACCGGTATATAAATCATAATAAATTGCTTTTTCTAGATGGTATTTTTTAGTAAATTGTTGCAAACTAACCAATGCTATTGACTGCACTAAACAGAACAGCCACTGCTTGACAGCTTTCTTGTATTGTAATTGCCGCATCTTTGCATGGACAGGAGCTGTTTGCTTTATTTATATTTCATTGCTTTGCTTTTATTTTAGTGCCCAGTGACGTGTGGATCAGGGACACAGACAAGGACAGTAAACTGCATAAACTTGACGACAAATGAACTAGTTGACAATTCAGTTTGTCTTAATTTAGGCATGACACTTCCTGAGAATACGCAGTCATGCCCAGATCTCCCATCTTGTTCTAGTTATGAATTTGTTACTGGTCAGTGGGATGCTGTAAGTTTTTATTCAAAAATTTTCACCATTTTATGAAGGATTCCTTCATGGCACTGTTTTGTAGCACTTTGTAAGGTTAATTAACACGAGTTTCTTTGCTGCCAAATCCTAGAAAAAACTACAACTTCACATGGTACCGGGTAATTTTTCAGAAACTAATTTTGTGCTAGAACACAAATTTACAAATTATTTAGCAAACTGGCACACTTTAGATTATCACTTAAATGTCTTCATAATTGGTATAGTGTGAATAACTACTAAATGTAGTGTAAATACTACCTGCCTTGGTTACCAGTTTCTTTGGCTATCATGCCTGCGAAGGAATTGTTGTTGATTCATGTCTAGTCAACACTAACATAGTGATTTTTTTAGTCCCCGTTCGGACACAGTCCGAAAACGGGGACTTGTGTTTTGACCTTCGTGTGTCCGTCCGTCCGTGCGTGCGTGTGTGTGTGCGTGCGTGCGTCCAGACCTGTATCTTAGAAATGCCTGGACCAATCACAATCAAACTTCACACATACATCATACATGATAGTATACATATGCACGTCAATTTGTTTCACGATCTGATTCAAGATGGCCAAATGGCGGACATTTTTGTGCTAAAAATCATCAAAATCAAGCATTTCCCAGCTGTTTACAGATGGATTTTGTTCAAACTTGGTATATACATTAGACATTATGGGACCTTGATGCAAATAATTTTGTTTTTTAGATAAGATTCAAAATGGCCAACTGGCAGCTATTTTGTTTTAATGAATGTGGTTCTTGCGCCATATCTCTGACTTGCTTTCACTGATTATGTTCAAATTTTAAATATTCATTATACATCATGTCATAGACAGATATATTGGTTTGACGATCCTATTCAAAATGGCCAAATGGTGGCCATTTTTGTGCCAAAAAATCATCAAATATCAAGCATTTATGCATGGATTTCGTTCAAACTTGGTACATATGTTAGACATTACAGGTTCCTGATGCACATCATTTATTTTTCAGATCGGATTAAAAATGGCTGTCTGGTGGCCATTTTGTTTTTAATGATTGGGCTTCTAGAGCCATATCTCTTAAATGCTTTCACTGATTATATTCAAATTTTATATATTCGTTATACATCATGTTATATATATATGTATTCAAAATGGCTGATTCGGAATGCTGTTCCAAAGCAATATCTCTCAATATGGACAAGTAAAAAGATTGACATTTGTATCTGATCGTCAAAAAAGTAATGTTAAAAAATCATATTCCTGACATGGTTATATTCCAGCTATATTACTATAAACAAAACTTGTATATATCTTAAATTTGATAACTAACGGGGACTGTGCCATGCATGGCTTGTTATTTTATTTTAGCCATCAAACATCGCATATTTTTCATTTACAACACTCGCACAATGAACCGAAACGTAGTACAGTATTAGAATTTTGAAGCATTGTTAACATGCATTAATTTTGCAGTTTTCATGTAACAGTCAATTCATACAGCTTCCACACTAATTTTGAAAACCCATTTTGTCTGCATCGAATTTTTTCATGATAATGAATTGAATAGATACTTGTATAAATCATAATCAATTTTTTCTCAAAGAACAAATCAAATTCTGAAATTTTTGTCTGGACACTGTTTTTAATAAATTATTGCAAATTAACCAATGCTATTGACTGTACTATATGGTTCCTAAAATCACTGCTTAACAACATTCTTGATTATTTTAGTGATTGCATCTTTGCATGGACAGGAGCTGCATGCTTTATTTATATTTCATTGCATTGCTTTTATTTTAGTGCCCAGTGACGTGTGGATCAGGGACACAGACAAGGACAGTAAACTGCATAAACTTGACGACAAATGAACTATTTGACAATTCAGTTTGTCTTAATTTAGGCATGACACTTCCTGAGAATACGCAGTCATGCCCAGATCTCCCATCTTGTTCTAGTTATGAGTTTGTTACTGATCAGTGGGATGCTGTAAGTTTTTATTAAAATGATTTTCACTGTTTTATGAAAGATTCCTTCATGGCACTGTTTTGTTGCACTTTGTTAAGCTGAGTATGTGAGGTTATTTAACCTTGGTTACTTGGCTGCCCTGGAAAAGCACCATAGCTGCTCTGGTCTCATTTTCAGCTCTGTAGTCGACTTTGTTGAGTGTAGCTAATTATATTACTGATTGCTCATTCTTGTTAGTGTCAACTTTTTTACTTTTTGGACTTCTTAAAAACCAGTCAGATTGCTTTGATACTTTGTGCACAAGTTCCTTGGGTGGACTTCTCTTGATTTGTTTGTTTCGTGATGATATCTTTAATTCCCTGAATTAAAAATTGAATATTTTTGTCATTTTTTTTGGTGAAAAGCAATATTTTCCACTTCAGTTTAAAAAACTGCAAGTCTGATTGCTTTGATATTTTACATATAGGTACCTCAGCTGGACTTCTCTCAGCGGAGCTATCTAAGCCAGGAGACTGCTTTCATCGCAAATAATTCATTGTTGTATTTTTCCACTTGTAGTGTACAGTGTCATGTGGTGGTGGTGGAAGCCAGACTCGAAGTGTATATTGTCGCATTGTGGGAACTACTACGCAAGTTGAAGATTCTCTGTGCACACAACAAGGACTCAACAAGCCTCCCACTTCACAATCCTGTGGACTTGGTACCTGTCCAAATTATCAGTTCATCCCAGGAACTTGGAACAATGTAAGAATATTTCATTTTTATTACCTATTACCTGATTGATAAAATGATTTCTATATGGTTTATACAGTACATTGAAATCTCTTCTTTTCGTATTTGAAATCCCTGTATGTGTGTTCAGTAATCTAGTCAGGCTGTAACCCATCATGAACTCCTTCAGAGAAAATATTGCACATTGCACAAATTAAGACAGTAGAACTTTCGATCATAAGCTCGCTTGTTCAATATGTCGTACATGTAGGCCATTTTTCGGGCATACCTGGGACGTTCATTCGAACTTAGCATTGACATCATTCATGCCATACATTTTCAATTGCTAATGGCAGCCATTTTGTTTTTTTCTTGTGTGTCCTGCCACTCTTATAGTTTCACTAATTTTGTGCAAAACATGAAGGGATGCATATTATATTGTTTTTGGGTTTCGGGTTTTGATGATTAACGGACGTGTTATTCCCTTTTTGTGCATGCGCATTGACCAATTTTATTTAAACTTGGTATGAACCTGCATGCGAGGTATGTACGACCTAGAAATAGTGCCGTATGCGAGTACCAAGTTGCGAGTTGCAAGTAGCAAAATATGCCATATGCTAGTGGTAAAAACGGCATATGCGAGTGGCAAAATGTATCGTTTGCTAGTACAAAAAAGCCCTATGCGAGGGGTAATACAAAGGCTTGTAACGTTTGCTTATAATATAACAACGTATGTTCAATTGTGTTTTATCACAGTGAAATCAAATATTTACCATGGTTATGAAATAATGTGTACATGGTTGGTTAAGATTGGCATGATGCTGTATAAAAAAGTTCATTCAGTCGTTTGCATAGAATCGATGTTTGCTCTTCACGAAATTGCACAGGAAACGTGAAAGCACGATAATTTAATAAACTGCCATGACCAGCCAGCAA